TTATTTGATTGGCGGTCGGGTCATATTATACACAATTCTTTATTGTTAATATAATTTTCTGGTTAATGAAATTTTAATCACTTTTTTTACAAAAAAACTTAGTTTGTCAGTTTTTGTAATTACAAATTTTTTTTAAATGAATATTATTTCTTTTTCAGTCAAAGCCAATTTTTTTTCCATCATTGTAATTCTTTTATTTATTTAGTGTTTTTAATAATTTTTTTATCACTATAAAATTTGTTTTTAAATTTTCTATTAATAAAATAGTGGCAAAAAAAAATAATAAAAATTGATATGAAAATATAGAAACATAATATGGATGAAATTATATTTATTTTGTAAAAGATATTTTGAGATGTGATTTTAACATGATTTATATAAAGAAAAAAACTCCATTAATCCATTTATATTTTGAAACAATAAAATGATATATCTTTTTTTTATACTGTATATTCATACTGTATGCTTATAAAAAAATAAAATCTCCATATTTTTTAATATTACACATTTTAAAGTACATAATTAAATTCAAATATTTATTATAAATAGAATACATATCATGAAATTCCAGGCCATTTAAAAGTTTTTCCACATTTCATATAATTAAAAGACACAATACATTCCAATATTAAAGCATCTGTTTTTTAATACTAATATATTTCATTAATTTATAATGTTTCATACATTGCATTTATTTATTAAGTTTCATTTATTCACATTTATTGTTAACCTTTTGTATACATGCAATTTACTTTATATATACTGCCTATTATCAGAATAAGTATATTAATTATGTAATAATTTATGAACTTAATAAATAAAAGCGTTAAAAAAAGAATCAGAATAAGTAAAAATTGGCAAAAAATCAGATAGCCAATTTTTGGCTACATCTGTCCAATTTGTGACTTTTACAGCCGATTTCATAGATCGTTAGTGTATTACCAATATAAAAATGTAGATTCCATAATCCATATACAATTTTTTTGTATGGTAAAAAATAAAGAAAAATTTATATTGTAATATTAAATTTAATTTTAAATAATAATGCTTTATTAAGTAATATTAAATAAAAATTTAAATTTTAAAAATACATTAATGAATGTAAATATATTTGCAATTCAGTATAGTATGATCATAAAAAATATAAATTACTCCACAGCATTTTCATAAAAATTGGATTTTGACTGCTGAACAACTTTCAATTAATAAAAGAAGTCAATTTCCTTTGACCAAAATGTTCAAAATACGTTCTGAAGTGACAAAACAGAAAAAATAAAATTCATGAATGAGTACCGTTGTGAAAAACGTGAATAACCCTTCAAGTATTAACTGTACCTTCATGAAAATTAATATCCAAGCAGATT